GCTTTCCTGCTTGGCAGTGACTGTGCGGATTTTGCAATTACTGAAGATTCAGACCTCTTGGCATACAGCTGCAAAAAGGTTTGTGCACTTAATATCCTGCCCCTTTTCAGATCTAAGGTTTTCTTTTTGCTTTTCCCCTCAAAGGCTTTCGTAAGTTGTTGGCTTTTTCTGAAAATTAGTTTTGTTTTGTTTTTTTCTTTCCAGATTTCATGTATTATTTCTTCAATGTTTTTTTCTTCCAACACTGGCCCGAAAGAATTCCAAGTTGTTTACTTTCCCCAAAGAATTCCCCAAATTTAATAGCTTCCATCTGTTTTGTTGATGGGAAAGTCAAATAAAATTGCCTTTGGTTGGGAATCTACCATATTGTCAAGGGCACCCAACGACAATTTTCGGAAAATATCTGTTCGGAAGACGATTTGAGATCTAGAACTTTCGGAAAATTTTTTGTAAAATTTCTTGCTTGCCTTCCTCTCCCAGAATTTTCGAACATCTGAAAATGGTATAATTGCCCATTTTTAACGGATTTTTAGACTAGAAAGCTCACCTAGAATTCTCGGGAGCCTTCTTTCTGGCTGGAATTTTCGAAAAGGTAAGTTTTGATCCATATAATTTTCGGATCACCACACTTTCGGCTAGGAAATCTGAACAGATAAAAATGTTTTAGGGGTTAGAAGTATGCCCATAATTACCGTTTAAATACTCAAATACGCTTAACAATGCTGTGTTTGAGTGATTCTGAACTACATTTTCGTTGGGTGCCCCTGTATTGTCAGGTCACCAGTTTTGACCCGAGAAATTCAGTTGTAAAGGAAAATGCTGCAATCCTAAGCGATCAAGTTACTCATCCTAGACAGCAAGTTACTCTAATTTGACATACACAATTCAATAAATCTTTCTTAGTTGATGGTCAAAACTTCCATGAGTGGAGATGGCGAATGCTTTGTTTTGTCCCATGTCTTGGAGAGCTTGAAGCTAAGCATGAATGAGTTCAGGAAAGTATGCATTGCTGCTGGCTGTGACCACCTAAAGAATGTCAGAGGCATCGGTATACAAAGGGCATTCAAAATGGTTGCTGCAGGGAAACTCAAGGAGTTGCTTGGTAAAGGGGGTGCTCCTGAAGATTACTGGGAAAGTTTCTTCAAAGCAGAAGCAGTATTTCAACATCAAACAGTTTTTAATTTGGGAACCTGCTCCACAGTACCTCTAGAGAAGTGCGAGACAAATCCACCAGCAGAACTCCGGTATGTCTGTGGAGAGTATCCTTTAGCCACAAACACCCATATCAAAGCTAACTTTTTATTCCAAAATGCACCATATTATGCCTTAACTTTGAAGTCTATTGGATGATTTGTACTCCAATAACCTGGCTATTGGCAATGTGAATACTAAAACTGGAAAGCAGACACTGACCAGATATCCCTTGTTTACCATAGTAAGTGACTAGCTCATTATATTTTCTAAGGTACTAGAACCTAGAGTAATTAAAGTTGCCAATTTCGTTTCCCAGGCAGAAAGGAAGTGTTTTATTCACAGTATATGTTTTTAAGTTGTTGGTACTGCACACAATTGACTTCAACCCTTATTGCAAAGTTAGCATTTGCATACTATCCTTTACAACTATATTAATTGCACTCTTTTCCCTTATATTTTAGTCGTCAATAGTAACCTCAAATGGTAATTCTGGTACAACATCTCGACAGTATGCAACATCTGAACTTGAAAGTGAGTTTCCTACCAAGTGCATTAAGTGTACCAGGAATAAAATTTTTCAAACTTTCACTTCAGTTGTTGAAATAATCTAAACTTTTATTTTTTAGGTGATGATGTCAAGCAACAAGCAATGCCACATGGAACCATGCAGTGTCAGATCATACATATTGACAGATTTTCTTCATTTAAATGGGAAATCCCTGGTTTTCCTGTACCGAAACTTGAACTTGTCAGAGTGCTATTCAAAATTGGCACTGAAATCTCAGATGGTGTTATCCAAAAAAAAGAGGCAGCTAATATTCAGAAAGGGAATTTCATTTGCACTTCTCATTGTGGCATAAGAGTACATGACAAGAACTACACAGTGCTTTGGGAACTTCAACCCACAAAAA